AAGTAATTACTGAATGTCTTCCTGTACTTTGTGTTTCTTTATCATGACGAATGTGTATATTCTAGATTCCACTTGAATAGATTCCCACAAATAAACCACAGAAAGGTTGACACAAATTGTGCTGTTTTCGTACGAAACAAAACTCCTTTTGATACCAATTCGTTTGTCTCTTAACATGCCAACACATGTTGTACAACCTTCCTGAAGGAGTGAACTCTGGCATCATCAACACCACTAGGAACTCCTGCTTACGGCACTCTTTTTAGTCCATCATGGCAAGATGGAGTTCTATTTTCTCTGCCTGTCATCTTAATTATACTTACCAGTTCACGTTTTCTGCTGATTCTTTTAACACAAGACAAGACATTCCTGTCATCATTCTGAATATTCACCAATATACGTAATGTTTACTTTGAAAATAATGCTTCTCAAATCATTAGTGCTATTCAGGGACTGTGACAACCGATAAATAACATTTGCCACTTATAAATACGAGCGTCGTCAGAAGGAGTGAGTTGAGGGAGAAGCGACTGAGAAAGATCTTTCACCCAATTGTGCTTTAGTGGTAAATTTAAAAAACCCATTTGATCGGCAGAGAGTAGATTGCAACTAGGCTTGTGAACTGAAAATAGAGTTTAACATATTGTGGATACTGTGGATCATGAATGATGTTGAACCTTATCCGTTGTTTAGATGGCAGCCAATGAAGACTTTACAGTATGGGTTTGATGTATTCTTCACATGCTGCAATTGGGTAACAAACCATTGTTAGGCACCGTTTGTCTCCCTCTGATTATTATGACTTTAAAAAACGTCATGCATTTCTGGGTTTCAATAAAAACGAACAACATATCACGTTTTCATGGAGGCGTTTTGACTAGAGTTTGCAGCCATTTTAATGTGTGGTCATTTTGAGCTGTTACCGCCATTGATACTTTTGTATAGTTGAAGACACACTGCGTTAGATACGTCTAACAGGCGAATAGTCACACGTTAGTAACACTGCTAATAACTTCTCAGTAGTAATTCAATATACAACAGACATGATCTAAATACACAGAGGTATTCGTTGCCAGGGCTACAACCTTGATAGCTCAAACGACATTGGTTCAAACTAGTACCTGTAGTTGCTTACCAAGCTTCTGTCTTCACAGCTGGACAACGACTCCGATCTTTGAACTTGTAGTGGGGACATCGACGGTTGTGCGAACCAAGTTCGGGAATTTTCTCATTTGAAATATAGCATAAGCTGTATATAAGTCAATATATATAAGTCAAGCGTGGACGGGCCATTCACCCCAAGCGTCCAGCCAAGGCTCTAAGTTTGTTTGTTAACAAACTTTAGTCCGATGCTACCGATTAGCATTACATGAGTTATAAGACCATCATGTGGTTATTTAGTCACCACCTTAAAGGTACATAAGCCATACAATTACAAGGGGTGGTCCCTCTTGGCCTTGTCGGGCTTTTGTTGTCGGAATAGTTTGTTTTTCACTCAATCATTGTCTTAAGGCATACTGGAATAACGTGCACCACTGTACGTTACATAAAGAAGAATTGAGGTTACTAAAATATTCAAATTATGCTTGAAAATATATTTTGGAATAACGGAGACTGTGGTGTCATCTTTTGTGTCACAATGAGCCGTGTGATGAAGTAATAGTGGGGTGTTCCCTTGAACTAAACAATGCAAGACGAGCGTTGTTTTCTTAAGGGGTGACCACTTAATGGTTGAATGCTTCTTATACATGCGAGTAAAACACAAGTAAAATTCAACGTTTGATTATATACTACGACGTACCTAAATCACCAATAATAGCGATCCATGTACATGCTAAATCAGGTAAATAGTGATAACCGAGTATTCTTTACACCCAGGAGATGGTCTGCATGTTTGACCTGCAACACTGATTACGTAGTGATAACCCAGTACATGTATACTTGTACCTTCCACCAACTAATCTGACGCATACCACGTTGTGTCATACCGAAGGGTACACGTGCACATCACTCTAACGGACAAGGGCATCTTACAGTATAGTGTACAGTGCCAAAGATGGCCGAGTTTAAACACCTTTCTTGGGTGCTGATATGGACTTACCTGACCTGTGTTTGTAACTGCCAGGACAGTATTGTGTCTGTCATACAGAGACTGGACCAGTTTGAGGAGGATCTGTTTTATAACAAGGAGGACATGATCAATATGGAGAAAAGGATACGAAATATAATAGTTGGTTCAAAGACAGCATTGAGGGCTGAATTAAGAGAAAACATACTGGATCAGGTGAGAGAAGCCATGGCCGAGATTCTAGAAGGAGAGTCACTTCAAGACATGGTGAAAAGTCAGGTTGTCTCTGAATTGCGGCATCTAAAACAGGGTTACCATCAGATGAAGAGGCAGATGCATCATGTCTCCAATGAACTCAAAGACTTCCAGGACGAGACGAGCGTGTTTCATGAAACTGTCCTGAAGAAGGCATGGGTTGGGAATCGAGACAACTCAAGTGACGTCTGTGTCAGAGACAAACATAGACTGGAAATAGAACTACAGAAGTGTGATGTTACCACTGCTGATCTCAAGGCTGACATCAAGCGCTTAATGACATTGAATGAGACGTGTCAGTTCCCAAAACAAAAACAGAAAACAACGTTTACTGTACATGATGCTTCCCCAGCAACTCATAATGATACCTCTACATCCGGGTCACCTGGGTTGACAACGTTAATGACGACACCAAGGCTTCCTGTGTCTACAACGTCAGTGAACACACAAAGACGACAAGAGGAGAGAAGTAGGATTCGGAATCGAGAGAACTCAAGAGACGTCTGTGTCAGAGACAAACATAAACTGGAAATAGTACTACAGAAGTGTGATATTTATGCTGCTGATCTGAAGGCTGATAATGAACGGTTTATAGAAATGATTAACGCGTATCAGTTCCAAATATCACAACTGAAAACAGCTCTTGCTGTGCCTGCTTCTTCCCCAACAACTCAATATCTAAGCTCTACAACCATGGACCCTGTCTCGACAACGTCAGTGACGACACCCAGGCCACCTGTGTCGACAACGTCAGCGACGACACCCAGGCAACCGGTTTCAACAAGGTCAGTGAAGAAACCCACGCAACCTGTCTCGACAACGTCAGTGACGACACCCACGCTACCTGTGTCGACAACGTCAGTGACGACATCCAGGCGAGAAGAGGACAAAAGTAGGATCCTGATTGCGCCACGCTGGTCAGGCACCCATCACCAGTTCCGTCAACTCAACATTCACAGTAACTCTCTGAGTATGCTTCAGAATCACAACATGAATTGGGTGACATCTCTTGCCTATGTAGCAAAGACCAACAAACTTCTGATAGGATCAAAGAACCCTTACAAGATAGCTTCATCTACCCTGGATAGAAGTCACGTAACGGTACTAAGAAAAGGTGTATTGACATATGGCATGGCAGTGGATGAAGATCGGAACTTTGTTTTCATAGCCACTTATAAACCACAATACACAATCAGCCGTATGTCTACAAAGGGGAAAGACTTTACCACCATCGTTGACTTATCCAAGTACGGAGGCATTCCAAGGCAACTAACTCTTGACAAAAGGAGAAAGAGGATATATGGGTGTAATCGCGAGAAACTGTTCATGGTGACATATGATGGTCAAGGCCTGGCAACATTAGCCACAGGAAGTGGCATGTTTGCTGTAACCCTAGATCAGACAGCTGGTGTGTTGTATTATAACAATGATGAGAAACTGATGAAGATGACCGTGTCCAATAATGTGAGTACAGAGGTGACCACACTGACCGCTAGACCCTGGAACATGAGACTGTATAGAGGCACCATCTACTACAGTAGCCTTTCTTCTCAAATTGTAGGCGCAGTTAATGTGGCATATAACACTTCAGCATATACTCTTAAGTCAGTAGGCATGGATGGAGTTAGTCGTATTCTTCTGTGTTTGGTTCCCTGAATTCTATTAAGATATTCTTCACCGAATGTGAAAATATTCGATTATGATTGGTCAATCAAAAACTTCAAGTCACATAACCACCTCTGATTGAAACAGTTGATATAATGACTGCCTACCCTCGGAAGTTAATATTTATAAAACAAAACTTCTTTCTGAATCATCGTCGGTAGGCATTTTGAAATAATGAGATAAAAACACATATACTCACAATGCAGACTTTCGGTTAATACAATTTTCAAAGTATGTGTAATAATAAATGTTCGAAGGAAAACACGATATGTATCGACAAAAAGTGTATTTCAAGTTTTGAGGACGACAACTCTTACTCTACTACAGTGGATTTTGTTCTCCGATTGTCGGTGCAGTTGATGTGACACATAACATTTCAGCATATACTCTCAAGTCATTAAGCATGGATGGAGTTGATTATTAGGGCTCTGAGCCGAAAGGCTTGAAGCCCTATTGTAATCGGCCGATTTATTTATTATTATTCCGCCGATTTTGGTACCAGAGCCAGCAAAGTAACCACTCAGTCTGGCTCGATTTAGTTCAAATTCTGTATGTGTATGTAGACAGTTGAGAGTTCTAGATACGAAAAAATTCCCAAGGCCGTAGGCTCAAAGATCAAGGGCAGACAGCTGAAAAACAAGTAATTTTGTAAACTATATTTTGCCCTATTGCTCCAAAACCGCTTCTCCGATTACTTTTAAACTTTGCATGTGTCTGCTGCTAGGGGTGCTTGACATAATTTGTTCTTTGACTTAGGTCATTGGTAACTTGGTTTGGCAGCCATATTGGATTCAAAGTTTTCACAGTTTTTTTTGTACCTGTCTTCAAATCCTATCTCCTCTGAATCCATTGCATGAAATGCATTCAAACCCTCTGAGAATTGTCTCCATACACAACAGAATAAATTGTCTTAACCGAGTTTGGATATGTTTTTTTAGTTGCCCCTATATTAGATTTTGATTTTGATGATGTTTTTCACCGAAATTTTACTTTAAAGATCATATCTTGTAAGGTTGTTGACAGTAACTATTGCAAGTTTACATGAGTGAGTGAGTGAGTTTGGTTTGACGCCGCTCTTAGCAATATTCCAGCAATATCACGGCGGGGAACACCAGAAATGGGCTTCACACATTGTACCCATGTCGGGAATCGAACCCGGGTCTTCGGCGTGACGAGCGAACGCTTTAACCACTAGGCTACCCGACCGCCCCGCCGCCCCGCCGTCTCATTGTTTGTTCTTGGTGTCATGCTAAAAGTAGCATCGCTAGGTGGTGACATTTGATTGATATCGGGACACCCCTGGAACACGCCAATTTCGTAGCGGCGATGTCCTACAAACGGTGACTATCTTTTGACAGAGTTGGTACAAACAAACCCTTTGTGGATTCGAACATGTTCGAGGTGGGAAATTCAGAGCCATTCTTTGTTTCCTTAATTCAAATCGAAAACCCACCCAAATAAACCCACTTCACTCTGTATCTTCGCTTATATCATTTTCAATTTTTTCGATGTCCAGCTAGGTGACCTGTACGTTTAACCGAATTTTACATTTAAATGTGGGATCAAACGTGCAGCGTTAGGTTTTAAATGTTAAATTTAGTGGTGTTAAATATATTGGTGACTCAGGACGTGTATCTCCTAATTTTCCATGTTCCTTGTTAGTCCTTTATACATCTATAATGTATTGGACTCGTTTCGTCTGTTGGCAATAGCGTTTATAGAATTGTGTACCAACAACGGGTTTCTGATATAAATACAATCGTAGCACTCGGGTATGGTGTGTCAAACACGATTCCAATGAATGACGGATGTTGTCACTCTTGGGAATCTGATTTTTAGATAGTAGATTTGAGATAGAATTCAATTCAGGTTCCAAAAGGTCAGTGATATGTGCTGTAAGGTTTTATCAATAAACACTTTTTTAACGTTCCATTGCTATTATCTGTGTTTCCAACTTTAACAAAACATTGCTTCTTCACGCATTATCTCGCTAACACTGAGGCAACAACCACTTCATATTCTGGAAACATAAACAATAGTTTGTCCAAGAAACAAAATGGAGAAACAAACCTGCCTCAGATTTTCACCACAAGGATTTTAATTGCACGTTGGGCATGCACATCCTGACAATAATGTGATGTAAATTCATTTTAATTGTTCGGCTTTTTATTTTACAGAAATAAATTACGTGTTTTGAAGAATATATTCTGCTTTTAACAAAACTCCTATCTATAAAATAAAATGGTCGGCCTGAAAAGAGTTCTCTTTTGATTAAGAAGGGTAGAGTTATCTTACCTGTTGACTTAACAATTCAATCAAGTACCGTCATCAAATGATTGAATATCAAACTTGTGGGAAACGGATAAAACGTTCTGTGTGTAAAGGCTGGATATTTTGCCCAAGTTTCTCACACCAGTCACCAAAACATCCTGCCCATGTACTCATTATAGAATAAGGTTTGGGGGTTCCATGCACTGGTCTCATGGGTCCCATAGCAATAGCTTTTAGCCAATAGCCTGGGGCTATGGGGTCACATGACAAGGGCCAGAGCCACCCAGGGACCCCTAAACTTTTCAGCAGCCTCTTTCCGTCTGCACTGCCTGAACATCAACACCGCCAGCCATACCTGTTGATATTGTTTTAGGTTAGAGCACCAGTTTCTCTGTATGGCAACTGAAGGTCTATTGTATGCAAGTGTGGTATGGTTCAGTGCATAGTTATATCATTTGCAGGACTAAGAATCATTTGCTGCATTTAATTTCATTAAGTCAGGCAAAATTCAAAACAGGTGTTTGGTCACAGGTCCAAGTCATTCTTGCTTTACCAAACTGGCAAATGTCACTCACCAAAAGTACACTCAATGACAAGCATAAATGGTATTTATTTATTGCATTATTTTCTTGTTGGAAAATAACTTTAGTAAGGCACATTTGGGGTTTGGGTGTAATTTTGCTTAAAAGATCGGCCAGTCAAACTTGCCACTAGCTCATTGCTAAATTCAAGGTTCAAATTATTCCAAATTCTTTCTTTTGATAAATGCACTTATTGCTGACAACAACAGAACTCAGTTGCAAGTTTATTTGAAATTAACAAGTGGCTATCACTGGTCTTGGTTCCCAAGCCATGCGCTCAGTTAAAACACCCTGGTGCCATCTGGAAGTTGCTGTCCCCTCACTGACATCGCTTGACCTGCGCGCTGGGCAGCACACATTATCTTCGGGTATCCTCGGCACTCTCCGGCTCTCTTCCGGTTGCATTACAAAATGGCCGCACCGGATGTAAACAAGGCATGGCTCCGTCGTCTGCTTCATGTTTACCTTAACACAGTTTTGCCTACTATAAATTAATGTCATCCTATCCTAATGTCTGTAAAGTAATAGTAACACATACTAGTGAATATATATAACATAATTCATCAGGCATTTCGATATTAGTGTAAATTCCAAACTTTGGCTATTTACAGCACATGGAAACTTTCTCGTTCTCTTGGCGTCTGGGACCCGTGAAGATCCGGGGTAGAATAGGTCTTCAGCAACCCATGCTTGCCGTAAAACGTGACTATGCTTGTCGTAAAAGGCGACTAACGGGATCGGGTGGTCAGGCTCGCTGACTTGGTTGATGCATGTCATCGATCCCAATTGCGTGGATCGATGCTCATGATATTAGTCACTGGATTGTCTGGTCCAGACTCGATTATTTACAGACCGCTGTCATATAGATGGAATATTGCTGAGTGCGGCGTAAAACAACAAACCAACCAACTTGGCGTCTGGCGTTACGCAATCCAAATGATGCCAAGAGGCTTCGCATTGACCAATATCTAAATATGTATATAACCTCATTTTATTCAATATGAATCCAGTCCTTTTAAACGAGTAATATTTCTACATTTTCGGATTGGTGGTATAAATTATATTTCACTGTGTTTTCCCACTTGATGTGAAAGTGAAGTCACCTTGTCTTCAATACTAATAATATAATGTATTAAATTACATGGCCAATAATTTGCCTGCAATCTTAGTAATATTAATTATGTTATATCCATTAATATTTTGGCTTAAATTGGGCATTCATTCTGGGTAGCCTCAGGTGGTTTACCTAGGGGGTGTTTTGACATTGGCCGCTGTTAAAGTGACTTTCACCTCACGTCAGATGGGATGTATGTATCCTGTGGTGGAAAGGATGTGATGATTATATTGGGGGATTATTAGTTGATATAATTTCTGTAAATAATCATTGGGGCTGTGTGTTTATTCATGTACATATGCTGTTTTGTTGTCAACTATGTGTTTGCATTATATTTCACAATATTGTTTTCTCCTATAAGTGTTATCATCACATCACGAATATCACTTGGGTTATTGTTAATTCTTTAAAATATATTTTATATGTTTCTGTCTGCACTGCCTGGGCACCATCATCGCAAGCCATACCTTTTGATTTTGTTTAAGGTGTCTCCATGGCTGTGCAGCCAGGACTTGCACCCTGTAACTTTATACTTCAATACACCATCATTGCTGTCTTTTTGTGTTGTGTCATCTTTGACTAGAATACTTCGCGCCTTTAGCACGCTTGCCCATCCCTTTCAGTGAGACGATACTGTTACGTAACCGTAGTATTTGCACATGTCCTACATGTAGAAAAACAACAACTGTGCCGTGGACCCCTATATATGAGGAAGCAACTGTCCAGAAATGGGTGTCTGTGGATGCGGTGGTCGTCTTCTTGATGGCAAAGCCGACAGGTTGGAAAATCAACACTCCCCTCCCTGATTTCATGTCAACACACTTTTTAAACTTTGAACTATCCCTTTATGCGGTGACGCTTCATTATCGATATTTGACAAGCATTTAGTCACCACTTCCACTGTCACTGTTACTCCAGCCTTCTGAAGGCGTCAGGAACAATTTGGACACGTGCAGCATTTGTTCATATCCATAGTCCCCTCACTACTTGCTTCCATGGCCATTAAAAGACCTTTCTGGTTTCTCCTTAAAATTGCCATAATAAAGAAGTCGACATCAATATAATTCTCTTCCTTATTCATATATAGCACACAAACATTTATGACAATCTCCAACCATACTTGGCGGCGTATTTGTTCATGGTGCCCTTGTCAAATTATGTAATTGTTATAAACAAATCACTCATCATCCACGGAATTAAATCTTCGTTGGTGACCTGCCCTGCTCTAGTTCAATATGCCTTGTTTGGAATCTCATGTTTTGGATTTCATGGAAGTAAAATCACATGTCAAGCGAGAAAATTTTGTGAAATAAGCCAACGATATTATTCATTTGGATGTCTGTCGGTCCATACTATATCATGAAATTCAAAGGTACGTTTCACATTATTTCATGATTCACAATACACACAACTTCGTAGACCCGCCATATTTACAGCCCTTCTTTGTTGAGTGTGGTGGACATTGAGAGTGAAGAGTGAGTGAGTGAGTGATTTTACGCCGCTTTTAGCAATATACCAGCAATATCACAGCGGGGGACACCAGAAATAGGCTTCACACATTGTACCCATGTCGGGGATCGAACCCGGGACTTCGGCGTGACGAGCTAACGCTTTTACCACTAGGCTACCCGACCGCCCCGAGTGTGAAGAAACAATGACAGTGGTTTCAGACAATATAGTGACAATATTGATATATTCTTGTAACTAAACCCACATCGTATATCTGCATATATCTTTGTATGCGTTTTAGGGAATATGGTTTCACGCCTGGTAGCAGTGATCAGAAGAGAAATCCGGCTTCACACCAGGAATGGGAACAATGTATTGCGCCCATGTGGGGAATCAAACCCGGACCTTCGATGTGGCGAGCATACCCTTTAACCACAAGACTGTGTGTATATATAGAAGCATGTGTCTATTTATCTACAAGTCATTGGTTGTCATCTTTAACACTGCGCAATAGAACTACTGTCTCACTTTGTATCTGTGACAGTAACACGGGATCTTGGGTGTATAGGGTTGAACAGTGTGACTGTTATCAGATTACACAATGGCATATGTCATTAGTGACGTCGATTGATCTGTACCAATCTGTAA